TGCAACGAAGGCGACTCTAACCAGTGTAAGCGGAACATGAAGTACAAGGGTCGTGGCCGTGACCCGATCCTTGACGACGAAGGGTGCGTGCGGCAACTGAAACGTTGGCTCATTGCTGGGTTGAGTATTGATCCGAGCGACCCTAGGGCCCGGGCTCTGCACATGCAGGTGCCCATTCGAACCCTCGGGCCTCAAAGGGTGCCCGAGGATCTAGACGCGCCCCCATAGATGTTACGTTGAGGGGCTTAAGATCAGCCAGTTCAGACCCCTGCACTCCGAAGACCAGGGGCCATCTTTCTTGGGGGGCGGGAGTGGGGGCGAGGAGGGATATCCAGATCGGTAGTGTTGCTGCGTGGGGGTGGCGTACATTTCAGTGGCATCGCCAGATCTCTTTGGTCGAAGGGGGGAGGAGGTGGCGTGAGGTGGCGGCGTTTAGTCTCGGTCTAGTAAGGTATAGTAACATCTGGGGAGGCGCCGCCCTTCGCGCGGGCGGCTTGCATGCAGGGCGCTCTTCGCTTGGACAGGCACGGAGTTGGGGCGGGCCATTCGCCTGTCAATGGCGTCGCGTGGGGCTTCGGAAACGATATTGCAACCCCTCTCCTTCAACCTCCCTTCCGCAGGCTGCTGCCGAGGTCGGCTCGGCAGGTGCGCAATGAGGATGATTGTATCAATGATGTAGATGATGAGCCGATCCTGGACACAAGCCCCCCAACGGCAGTCTCTTCGCACATTGACCCCCACTGGAACCAGCAGCGTTGATATGACCAGGGAGTCCCGTCACCTTTTGGAGGCTTTTCGACTGCATTAGCATGGGGGTCCGAGTATTGGAGAATGCGTCGCCCAGCACTTGCAACCCATTCCTTTGAACACCCCAGATCGGCCTGCCCGTTGTGCGCATGAGGGGTACAAACAGGATCTTCGGTACCACGTAGACAGCTGTTCAGTGCCAAGCTCGCAAGTGTTTGAGCCCTCTCTCCCCCGTCAGAATTGCAGGCCGCGGTGATGAGCGGGCGCAGCCAGTCAGGCGGAGCTGCCAAGCCATTGTCCGCCAAGAGCATCATGGACTCCCTGCGTGAGAACGCCGCAACGGGGGCGCCCGCGGTGCCCGCGGCGCCGGCTGCAGCCAAACACAGGGCGGCTCCGAAGCGCAAGGCCGCGGCAAAGGCAGCGTCTCCGGCGGGGGCCGAGTCGACTCGCGGCCCTCCGGCGAAGAAGAGGCGTGGCGCTACGGTGCCCTCGGCCCCTGAGGGAACCACAGCCGCTTCGCCGCCCGACGCTACGCCCGCCTCAGACGCCACGACAGGCGCAGAGGCAGGGACAGCATCGCAACCTCCTGTGGCGGCTGCCGCGGACACCGTTGAGCGCATGGGTGCTGAGATGAATGGGCTCTGCGCGGAGTTGCAGGAGATAGCCCTTTCCCCGCCAGTGACCTCCCAGACGGCCTCGATTGGCGCGTCAGCAGAGTGCCAGGCAGCAGTCTGTCCAAGCATCAGCGACACCCCTGCAGCCGCAAGCGTCGCCACAGCACCAGCGGCGCAGGTACCCGAGGCGTCATCAGCAGGTGTCGCTAGTCAACCGTGCGCGCCTGCTGCCCCAGCGTTGCCGTCGGCTCCTCCCGCGGACTGCCATGAAGGTCCTGAGCCGCCATGCAAGGCCCCTCGGGTCGGCCTCGCAGCCACCGCTCCTGCTGGCGAGCAGGACGCGTCGACGCCAGCCGCAGAGGAGGCGATCAGCGCTGGTTGCGCCTCCTTGGCGGCGGGTGCTGCGGCAGTGCTTGTGAATGACGATGATGCCGAGCCGCAGCCTGGCGTCATCCCTGACTGGATCTCCGTGAACTCGGGGTCAGAGCCCGACGAGAAGAGCGTCGCCACCGACGTTCCAGCTGCTAACGTGCCTGCGGCCGACGCGGCGCCCGACCCCGCCGATGCCGACGCGGACCTGGCGCTGGGGGGCTCGCTGGCCGATCTACTCGACGCGGATGGGGTGGCCCACCCCTCGCCGCCTCGCGTGAGCTCGCCACCGCCGACGCCCGCCAGCCTCACAGTTGTGCCGACGCCCCCCGCGCCAGCTCGAGCGCATGCCGTTGCAGTGGCCGAGGCCCGGGCACGCGTCGCCCCCCCGCGCGAGTTCATGCGAGCCTCCGACCCCGCCTTCGTGGCGATGGAGCATGCCAGCTTTGACGTCGACAATTTTGGCCGTGCCGCCGCCCGTGCCCTTGCGGCGGGCAACTGCCTGCAGCTTGCGGCAGTCGACGCGCGCGATGGCGCCGATGCGGATATCCCATCGACGCAAGCGCCCCCGCCCTCCCGCCGCCGCACTGTGCCAGAGGATGGTGCGATCGGTGCGCTGGACGCCACGCCGCAGACCAAGACCTTGGGCCTCAAGCTGCCACGGATGCTCGCCAGGCCATCGCCTTTCACGCCGAGGCTGCGTCCCTTGGCGGAAACGCCCTCGGTCACGGCGAGCCCAGTGTCCACGGCCACGCTGCCGATGCCATCGCCCTCTGACCCGCGGCAGCTATCCCCGCCAGCGGGCGCTACGCCAGAGTCCGCTGTCCTGGGCAGTGCGCTTGTACCCGTCGCCGAGCCCCCGCCGTCGGAGGTCGCGCTGGTGCCTGCCGAGGCGCATCCTCCCCACTCCCTCTTGGCTCTCGGCCTCGCCGCCGACGCCTGTCCGCGCCCTCCGCCCGCAGCGTGCTCGCAGTGCGAATGCTGCGGGGCGGAGGTTGGGGATCTTGGCGGGGGCCCCGCAGCGACGGCGACGCTTCGGATCTGCCCCGCCAGGCTCGCATGGACGTGAAGGCCATGGGCACGTTGCTCGGGGGCATCTTCAAGTCACTCCCAGCTGCCGAGGCTGACAGCAGCGACGAGGACACTGTCCCCCCGTCCCGCCGCGCAGGGTTTCTCGGTGGGCGGTTTCGGTAGTTTCGGGTGAATTTCTGGAGACCCCCCCGTCCAAGTTCAACTCGGACGGGCGCCGCGCAGGTAATTACAGGAAATTGGCGTCCCGAAATACGGGAAATTCGGATCTGCGTGAGGGGTGCGTCCAAACGGGAAATGCGGAATTTCTGGAATTTCCCGAAAAATAATTTTCGGGAGGGGCCCGTCCAAATTGAACTCGGACGGTGAATTTCCAGAAATGGCGCGCAAAATATGGGAAATCCCTTGGGAAACGCTGCACGAAATCATACCGCCGCCGCGGGTTTGGCACCTCCGAGGAGTCCGACTCGGCCGCCCGAGCGCCAGAAGCCCCACCGGAGGCGGGCGGGGCGGGGGCGCGGCTGTCGCTTCGCTCCCTGCGGCGGCCAGGCACCCAGAGGCCAGGCGGCGCGTAGTCGGGGCCCTGCCCAGCCTCCCTCGCCGCCTTCCCAGCGCGGGGGGGACGAGCGCAGTGCGATGGCGACGGCGGCGGCGTCGGGACAGGCGATGGTGTCGGCGGCTGCGGTCAGACGACGGCCTTTGTCGTGAGGGCACCTTGCGTGAGGAAGGGGGGGGGGGGGGGCCCACGCTGGCGAGCCCGCGCGCACCGACCGACGCCAAGGCTGGCTGTGCGAGGAGGGGGAGACAGGCACCAGACAGCCCATGCAGGCATCTTTGGAGGGTCCACGCCGGCATCTGTCAGGCCTCTGTCCGAGCCATTGCATGCAGGCTCAGGTGGTGTCGCACCTGTGCCTAGCGCGCTGCCCCCGTTCCGCGCGGCACGGGCACATGGCGCGCTCCTCGTCTCCCCGCTGGCGCGCGCACAGCCCCGAGCATGCGGGCGTCGAGGCTGGCGACGCTGAGGTTGCCGCAGACGCCGACGCCGCCTTCGCGGCCACAGTCGCTCCGCCTGAGGACAGCGGGCACGCCGACTCTGCGGAGGCGCTTCATGATGCTGGTGCAGGCCTGGGACGCGAAGGCGGTCACGACGCGGCGGCGGACGCGCAGGAGGCGTACATTGGCGAGACCACCGCTCCTCTGGATGTAGAGGCTGGCGATGCGACCGCTGCTGATGACGCGCTGCTGCTCCTTCGCCCGCTGCTGGTTGAGAGGCCTGCTGCCGACGCGACCGTCCCGACGGTGGAGATCGCCAGCGGGGCCGCCTTGGCGTCCTCTGCGACGCAGACGGACATCATTTGGGTCGGGCCCTGCGTAATCCAGGTGCCGACCACTCCAGAGGCCGCGGCAGGCGCCGCGTCCAGCAGCAGTTCAGACGGCATCGGCGTCTCCCCAGGCGGCTCGGCTGCCGCAGCGGCGGCGCCGCTCATCCCCAGGCGCGACCCGCCCTTGGCGCCAGGTATCCCGCCGCCGCCCCTCCAAGGCGCCGCCGCCCACAAGGCTGCTGCGCCGGGGCCCCTGCAGGGCCCTGCCGCGGCCGCCGGGAGCCCGCCAGCTGGGCAGGGGATCTCGCGGGAGTGCGTGCCCTACGGCAAGCCGCCCCCGCCAGGGTTCCAGAACGCCCCTCGCCCCTCGCCGCCGATCCATGGCAGGCCGCCGCCACCGCTCCCTTCGAGTTCAAGCGCGGCGCTGCCGGTGGGCTGGGTGGCCAAGTGCCATCGGCGTTGGCGTGCCCGTCGTTTCGCGTCAGTCGGCCTCGTCGGTCGAGTCGGGGTGTCGGTGGCTGGAGTCCGCCTGTCCTTTGATGTCACAGCGACGGTGGTGTCGGCGACGACGTTGCGGCCCAGGCGGCGGCTGGCGCGGCCCCGTGGAAGCTGCCGCCGGGCTCGCGGCCGACGGTGCCGCAGCCGAAGCCCGCGCCGGCGGCCCCTCGCCCTCCGCCTCCGCCTCCGCCTCCTCCTCCTCATCATGCTCCTCATCCTCCTTCTCCTCCTCCTCCTCCGCCTCCGCCTCCGCCTCCTCCACCTCGTCCTCCTCGTCCTCCTGCTCCTCCTCTTCCATCCCCTCCTGCTCCGCCTGCCCTGACTCTCCAGTTGGTGGTGCCCTACCTCCTTCACGTCCCACGCCGCCGCCTCCGCCACGTCGTCCGTTTCGCCCGCCCCCCTTGCGCGCGCATCCCCGCAGGTGGTGCAGCACATCACTAACCACCACATTCACTGGTCTCGGGTGGAGGAGATCTACGGCCCGCAGTGGGCCTACTACGCGTTTTTGACGTTCGAGCAAGCGCGCGATGGCTGGATCACGTTGTACACCCGGGACTACGAGAGGCTGTTCTTTCACAACTGGATGACGAGCGAGTTACGCTGGTACCCTCCGAACGACGAGGGCGGCACGGGCGGGGCGCCTGACATGTGAAGGCCCTGGGGTAGGCTCCAGGCACTCGGCGTGGGGACAGCGCCATTCTCGGGCTGCATCCTCTCCGCGCACTTTCTAGGAGAGCCTCCTGTGACAACGATGACGACGTCGACACCGTAATCTTGCCTCTTGCCGCGACGGCGATTGGCGGCCGCTTGCTCTTCGGGGCCGTCTTCGCCGCCGTGATCCTGGCGTGCGAGGGTAATTCATGTGCGCGCTGCTGCGTGTTAGGTGCGCGTGGGGGCAGCGTGCCCTTCCTCCGTCTATCTTTTCGACTGTTCCACGTTCTGCTGCAAGGGACTAGTGTTAATCTCAATCTGATCAGGCTCTTTCTGCCCTGCTCCTCCCACTCGCCTCTGCGCTCTGTTCCCGCGTCCGTGTAGCGCGGGCTGAATTGCGCCTCCGGCGCCAACTATACTGATAAGCGGCCCAAGTGACAAAAAGTGCGGGCGCGGCATGCGGGAGCAGAACGCAGAGGCGAGAGGGAGTAGCAGACCGCTGTGATATCACCATGCCGTTGCTGTGGATCGCTAGCGCACCAGTCAGAGGCCTCCTGGAGGACGTACCCTGCCGCCTGTGCGCAGGCTCAGGCTACGCTATACCATGACACTGCCAGGGTCTCCAGGGTCAGGCCAAGTCCAGGGCCCTGGGCTTCATGGGTCTCGTCCTGGGCGTCCTGGTCTCGCTCATGTCTGGGATCGTAGGTAATGGCGGCGTTGCGTTGGCTGGTCAGGGAGGCGGGGCCGGGCCAGGTCAAGAACGCCCTGCAGAAGGCGATCGCGCAGATGCACGATCTCTTGCCGAAGCAATACGTCCCGAACGTGCTCGATGCGATCTCCCGCTGCGGCGGTGAGCTCTCTGTCGGGACAGGCGCCGCCCCGCTATGTCGCGAGTGCCACGCGTGGCGTCACGCTATCCGTCTTGCCCATGCTCGCCTCTCCCCCGCACCCTTCCTCCAGTGCCCTGCGCCCCAGAGGCTTCAGCGGCAGCGATGTCTTCAGCAAGATCTTGGACGCGTTCGCCATCGAGTGGAGCGACCGCTTCGACAAGCGGATCACCTTTCATAAGAAATTCCAGTGCGAGTGCGGGATCACTCAGCAGCTGTTCCTGACGCGCGAGTTCCCGGACTGCGAGTATCTCTTCTCCAACATGTCAGAGCATGGAGCATAGTTTCAGGATGAGGGGTGTCATAGGTGGTGAGCCTTGGTGGAGGTCGACGCTCGCGAGGCAGGCGGCGGCGACGACGCTGTCGCGCTGGCGTTGGCGACGATGCTGTCGAGGAGGATGTGGTGGGAGGGTGGAGGAGGCGTCTCCCGTCGTCGTGGCATTCATCTCCTGCCCCTTCTCCCCGCCCCCCTCTCCAACGCCAGACCCCTCCACCTTAGTCTTCTCCGTGGCTCCTTCGCCATTCCCCCCCAGTGACCTACATCCACACCTTCTCCTGTCTCCGACCTCCGTTCCTGCCTTTGCGTCCCAACATGCGTTGCTGTTCACTGCGCTGAGGTTATGCCAAGCTCGCGTCATGGACATCAAATCGGGCCAGCGCGTACTTGTCCCCGCAGTTGATATTTTCGCAGCTGGTTTCACCTGTACAACAAAATCCAATTTAAACGGCAAAACGAGGGGGCAGAAATTGAGCCCGATACAGACTGGAGAAGGTGAAACAGGCAAAGCGTGGGCCTACACAGCGGCCTACATTCAGAAGGCTCGCCCAACGCTGGTCGTGCTCGAGAACCTGACAGCGCTCATGGTGACAACGGAGTCATTCCCGTGCTCGGACGCAGAGGCCATCGTCACGTTCCTTCGCGAGTGTGGATACACTGCGCGTGCCTCGCACTCGGTCACCGCCGCTATGCAGATGAGGGGGGGGGGGGGGGGTCGCTAGCTTGTGCGACCGATGTGGTGCTGGGGGGTTGATGTGGGTCGGTGGGGTGTCGATGGTGGCCATGGGCGTCGATTGGGGTCGATGGAGGTCGTGCGCGATCGATGCGGGCCGATGTCAGGTGGTTTTGCGACGTATCGCACGCGCCAGACTCGACGCTAAGGCCTTGCGCGTGAGTGCCATGGACTTCGGATCGCCAGCCGTCCGCACGCGCATGGCCGTGGTCGGGCTGCTGGACGATGCCAGAGGCTTCGGCATCTCCGCGTACTCCGCTGTGTTGCCGTGCCTCAAGATTGGGCCGCTCCCCATCGAGGAGTTCTTCCACTGGCGTGATATCCCGCTCTTCGACGGTTTGAGCGCCCCTCCGGTGAGGCGTCTCAAAGGCACCAGTGATATCCACCTTACGTACTACAAGGCAGCGGGCCTCTCGTATCCCCCGGACATCAGGCGCTACTGCCAGGAGCTCCAGGTGTTGCTCGCCCCGCTTTGCCCTGCCCAGATTGAGGCGGGACCACCCTTCCTCACTCCCTCCTGCCGTTTGACTCAGCTCCCTGCATCCTCGGCCCCCGCCCTCCAGGGTGAGACACCCTCAACACGCAGACACCGCGCTGACGCGCACCCGCCTCACCTCCGCTCTCACATCAAGCTTGCCCTGCCATCGTTTGTGAGGGTATTGTGTCTTCGACTTTCTCGCAGGTGCCGTTGCAGTATGGTGGCGTTCGCACATCGTGTGTTGTAGAGGGTGCGTGCGTGTTGCGTTGGCCCCATTGTAGCCGCCCCCAGGTCGCCTTGTACGGAGAAGAATGTGATCCGTGGCCACGTCCTGGCGTTATTCAGTGGGCGGATGTGAACCTCTCGCTGAGGTTCCTCACAGGCCCCGAGGGCAGCGGTGCGGTCTTCAGCGAGACGATTCCCACGCTCACCTGCAAGTCGGTGCTGATGTTACGGACCATGACGGATAACGGGGACAAGCACTGGAGGCGAGTGGACGTCTTCCAGTCGTTTGTCGTGGCGGCCTCCTCCTCTCGTCGCTCTCGGCCTTTGCTTTTGACCCGACGGTATCACGGTAGGGGGAGGGGGGGTTGAGGAGACCTGGGAGGTGGATGGCTGGCGTTGGGATTGTAAGGTGACGGATGGGGTGGGCGGCGCGCAGCATGGGGGTGGGGGGCAGACTCTGTCATTTGTAATGCTAGGGCTCTCTGTCTCCCGCCTCCCTGCCAGGGTGGTATCCGGAGAACGTCTTCTGCGTCTGATTGGTTTTTTCGACGCATCCGACGAGACTGACGATAGCACTGCACGCATTCTCGTTGGCAATGCCTACTCTGGGTTTGCCTTTGCTGCCGTGGCGCTCAGCGCCATCGTCGGGTTCGGGCGGCGCCGTTAGAGGGCGCAGCCACGAACCGTAGCGACGGCGCATGAGGAGCATGGAGAGGAGATACGAAGAAGGAGGAGTATGGAGAGGAGATACGGAGAAGAGGATTTGCAGAGGCCACGGCTGCTAATTTCAAGTTTCTTGTGTTCCGCCGCAGAGATTCCGACGGGAGTTTCTGGCCAGGCGCCGAGCTACGGCGCCGTTGGCGGTTGACCCCCCCCCCAGGGAAGCGCGCGGGGCGCGTTGCAAGCTCGGGTTGCCTGGGGCGGGGTGCGGTCTTCGCTAGGATTGGCAACGCCCGCTGGTGTGCGCTGGCTTGCGAAAGGTCACTGCGACCCTCGGCTGGTGCAGCCCCTCACCTGCTACTCCTTCTCTTCTCCTCCTCCTCCTGCTCTGTCTCTTCCCCTCCTCCTGCTGCCCTTCTCTCCTGTCTCCCAGCCTCTACCTCCTCCACTTGCTCACCTCCTGCCCCCCCCCCCCCCGCGTCTCCATCAGACACGGAGAGGTGTGGGGGGGGGGGGGGGGGGGGGGGCGGGGCGGGGGGGTCCGGAGTCGATTTAGCATGCCGTATGACGTCTCAGGAAGCGACCCTTTACCCCCCTGCCCTTGTAGCGAGGCCTCACGTTAGACAGGCCCTGGGTCTGAGGTGGCACGATCGTTCAAAGCTGCTCTTGCATCCACTGTGCATCGCGTCCGCGAAGGGTTGCATCTCGGGTCGCAGCGTCGGCGGGGTTAATGCTCCTGGTTCTATCCCCCCCCCCCCCCCCCCAGCCCACTGCTCGACAGCCACAAGAGGGAAGCGTCCTGCTGGGAGTGGGGTGGGCCTTATAGCCATTCGGATGTTCAAGGGCCCCTGCTTGTCAGCGCTGACAATCTTGTTTTGAGAAGCCCTGCTCACGCCCCGCACTGTCGGCACCATGAGCGACAGGGAGGCCGACATGCCCGACCTGTCGTATGCACGCGGCGATCCCAGCACCGCGACCTACGGCGTCTGGGGGCCGGAGAACGCGGAGAAGATCGTCGTCCAGCAGACCGCAGGGCATATGACGATCATCGAGGCGCGCTGCATTGCCGTATCACATGTCTCCGTCTTGTCCGTCTTGTATCGCAGGTCTCCGTGTTGTTGCGTCGCATGTCTTTATTCTGCTATCTGTGTCGTTCTTATGACCTCGAGGTGACTCCGGACGGTCGCGCGCGCCTTCTTTGTGGACGTCGCGATACCGAGACTGACCACGTGTTCACCGCCGAGTCGCTGCACTGGGGGTACAAACCAACCGGGCGGCACAACGGAGGAAACTATTGCTTTTACTGCATGCGGACTCACGCCGGCTCTGCTCCTCCTCCCCCTCCGTCGCTGTGGTTGCCCTCGTAATTCTCAGGAGGAGGCAGTCCATGAGTCTTGGCATGCATAAGACAAGGTGGGGATGAGGAGGAGGGTGGGCAGAGAGGTGAGGACGGGGGCGTGGGGCAGGAGTAGGAGGAGGTGGAGGTGGCGGCGGCGGTTGCGATATAGCGTTTACAGGGGTGGCGGAGTCTCGGAGTGTCGGGTCATATACGCGCGGCCTAACCTTTCGCGCCAAACAAGCGAGAGAGAGAGAGAGAGAGAGAGAGAGAGAGAGAGAGAGAGAGAGAGAGAGAGAGAGTGTGTGAGGAACTGGCAGAGAGTGAGAGAGAGAGAAAGTGACCGAGTGCTGGAGAGAGAGAGAGAGAGAGAGAGAGAGAGAGCGGGAGACCGGGGGAGAGGGG